TGAGTTTGAATAAATTTTTGTTTTTGAAAATTGATTTCTTTTGGTAAAATTCTTCTCTTGGTTGTTTAGTTGATTGCCATTTTTTTTGTTTTGATTTTGATTTTGGAATTTCATTCAAAAGCCATGTGGCCAAGCAAAATTAAATGCGAAAACTAACCAGAAAAAAAACAGATGATCAATTTTGGTCAATTCAATATTGAACAGTCGACGACACAATGTTTTCCCGGGAAAGTTTTTTCTCTTGATGAAATTTTTTTTTTCGAAAAAATTTCTGGAAAACTTTCCTACCATTTCCATTTCAGTTAGCCATTGATTATCCAATTGGGCAAAATCAAAATTCAAAAATAAAAATGGTAAATCACAAACTTACCTACCAAACTAACTAACTAACTTGTTGTTGTTGATTTGAAAAAAGCGAAGATAAATTTACAAACGACAACAACAACAACAAGTCCGGTTATTTATGACCACACTGTTTTGTTTTTTTGTTGTTGAAACGGCCAATTGATTTTTGAAAATTTATTTTCTGTTTTCTTTTGACCATTATTATCATCATCATTGAATGAAACAAAGAAACAAAACGACCACCACCACCGATCATCATCACCATGACGATAATCAATTGACCTTTTGATTTTTTTTTGAATGTTTGGTTAGTTAGTTGACCATTTTCATTTTGAATGTCCAAAAACGTATCACCACATATGATCCGTAAAGATTTATGCTTTTTTTCAAAATGATGGTACAAGTCGGGCCGGTCTTGTGATCTTTTTCTTTCTTGGTAAAGAGGCCAGGTTAATTTTCTTTTCTGAATGTTTTCTGAATGTTGCCACCATCATCGACGATGACACTATATCTACATTGTGTTGTGGGTTATGTAAGAAAATAAATTATTTAGCCGAAACGAACGACTAACTAACTAACAAACGATATTCATCTGCTAATATGATTTATCAATTTTGGAAAGTTTTGTTTTTTTTACTTTTCGAAAATGAAGTGTATGGCTTTTACGGTGGCTTTTGCCGGATGAGAATCGAAAAGAATTTTTTTCTGACTTTGCATTTAGTTGTTGTTTTTTTTACGTTAATTATCACTTTGAAAATTGGAATAGCCAATGGAAAATTCAGTAAAAAGTGTGCCAAAAAAACAGAAAAATAAAGCACGAAAATTATTAACCCATTCGATTTTGTTGAAAATGTCAAGGTCAAATTATACAACCAAAAAAGCTGAATTTTTTTTGTTTGCCTTTAGCATTCCAAAGCGAAAATTTCTTTTTTTTCTTTAGGTCAAAAAAAAAGAAAGAGTTATGTCATAAATGGCTTTAGGCGCTTAATTAAGCGGAATTGTATAACGGTTATGCCATCACTGCCATTACTAACACACACACAAGCACATTACATATTACATATTACAGATTTATTATACCTTTAGGGGGTGTTGTAATCAACAGGTACCGTTAACCATTAAAAAAATGAATCACCTGTGTGTGTGTGTGTGTGTGTGTGTTAAATAACGGGAAAAAAATCAGGTAAACAAAAAAAAAGCCATAAAATTCATGTGAATCATGTTCTTGAATTACCCCTTTTCTTTTCTTTTCTTTTCTTATCAATCGGTTTTGTAACAGTAATTCGGAGGCAAAAAATGTTATCGTTATGAAGTTTGGGTACAATTCTGTTTTGGAATTAAAAGTTAACCATGGTTTTTGGTTGGACGGATGAAAATCAAAATCAGAAAAAAATGTGTGTACAGTCAGAAAAAAAGTCACACTTGCGCTCTTATTCTTTCCGTTATAATTTTTTTTAAAAAAATGATGATTACGATGATGATTTCATAATGTAATGTTGATCATCATCATCAAAACAAACAGAAAATTTGTTTGTTTGTTTGTTTATGACAACAACAACAACAATATGATGATGATGATAAAATCTGTCAAAAATGTTTTTTTTT